TGGCATTGACATGGTTAGTACGATTATATTCAACTATACATTACCTATATTTCATCAAACGCCCTTAATCATTTAATCTCTTTGTCACAGATAATGGTTCCATATAATTACACAGAGTTCATTGATGGGCTTACCTACTTGGTAAAAAGCAATGTAATTCCGATTAGTCGAATCGACGATGCTGTGAAGAGAATTTTGCGAGTGAAATTCATCATGGGTTTATTCGAGAACCCGTTAGCAGATTCAATCTTTGTCAATGAACTCGGCAAAAAGGTATTTATATATATACTTGAAGTTATCAATGTTAATAAAATTCGTGATAGCGAAATGTTTCAAATATATTTTTTCATTTACACTAGGAGCACAGAGAATTAGCTAGAGAAGCTGTAAGGAAATCACTAGTATTGCTAAAGAATGGAGAGTCAGCTGACAAACCTATGATACCTCTTCCAAAGAAAGCCCCAAAAATCCTTGTTGCTGGTAGCCATGCAGACAACCTTGGTTTTCAATGTGGTGGTTGGACCATTGAATGGCAGGGTCTTGGTGGTAACAATCTTACTTCTGGTACAACCATTCTTTCAGCAATTAAGGATACCGTTGACCCGAAAACAAAAGTTGTGTTTAAAGAGAATCCGAGCGCACAGTTTGTCAAGTCGAACCAATTTTCTTATGCCATTGTCGTCGTAGGAGAGCCTCCATATGCAGAAACCTTTGGTGATAGCTTAAATCTAACCATTTCTGAGCCTGGTCCAAGCACCATCACGAATGTGTGTGGTGCTGTCAAATGCGTCGTTATAGTGATCTCGGGTCGGCCTGTCGTTTTGCAACCTTATGTTGCTGTAATAGACGCAGTTGTTGCTGCTTGGCTTCCAGGAACAGAAGGTAAAGGCGTTACTGATGTATTGTTTGGTGATTATGGTTTTAGTGGGAAGCTGTCACGGACATGGTTTAAGACAGTTGATCAACTACCCATGAATGTTGGTGATCGACATTATGATCCTCTGTTCCCATTTGGATTTGGTCTCACTACCAATCCTGTTAAAGCCTATTAGAAGTTGTTTTGCCTTGGCCGTCAGTATGTATGAGGCCGGATAAGCAAAATATTGAATAACAGATGATATTTCCTGCATATTTGATCAATGTCATAACGTGGCCACCTAATAATTTGTTATGGATAATGAAGCCTTTACCTTTTTACCATGCATGATATGAGATTAATCATATACATCCATTTATAACACACTTAGATATGGTTTATTTACAATATCCCGAGACCTATTCTTGTTTGATGAATCAATTTTGGCTATGCTTGGTACTCTGTTGGGTTGTTGTGATCTATGCTCTAGGTGATTGATAAACGTTATCTCTCAACCGAGCTTGAGAATTTATTCTAGTCTCCAAGTGATTGATGCACATTATCTCCTCGTTGAGTTTGCATATATACTTAAACATTTCTAGTAGATCGAGCAACCTAGGATGGTAAGAGCCAATCAGTGGTCAAGACCCTAGGAGCTAATCTAGAGGGCCTTGAAAATGAGAGCTATACGCCCTACCTTGCTTACTAACATTCACACCAGAGCCTCCCCTCTTATTTTCTTTGTTACACAATTAGCAGTATGAGTGATCTAGGTAGAATCTTTTTAGCACAACTATCAAGCGGTGGGAACACAGAAGTAGTACCGTCGAGCTTGGTGTAGCGCATAAAGGTAACCAGTTGCCTTTATCGGGTGGAAATGGTGAAGGATTTTCTTAAGAGGGTCTTTGTGCTGTAAACCCGTTTTGAAAGGGAGGCGGGGACCACACAAGTAATTTAGTAGCTATCAAGCACACCGGGTCACTCACCTAAATTGAGTAGCCGAACGTTTTCAATGGAGAAAAAAGTTTATAAACTTGGGAAAGTTGAAGAAGAAGCTTCCATGTTATTTTCTCTTCCCTGAATCTTATGGGCTGTGGGAGAAGAAACTGTTGTGGAGGGCAGCTATCAGGGACGGAGAAAATGACACCTTGCCTTTTTTCTTTTTATAATATATATATTTATTTATCTATTTATATTTTCCTGTTTATGACCTCATAAATAGCACATTTTTCTTTTTCTCCTTTTTCCTACTTTAAAATTAAAAACAAGCCACCAACTTCAAATACAAGTCGAGCTGTTTGTATTTATTACAAACGAAGTCGGTGCTGTTTGTATTTATTGCAAACGAGGAATGGGCTGAGGATACCATTTCTAACCAAATATGAATGACCCAAAATATACGGACTAGGTTAACGACCTAGGGCGACCCTCTCTGTGACTGCATAGCTCTCAAACGCTCCTTGACCTTGACCAGCCGTTAGCAAACATCTAAAAAAGAAATGAGGAATGTGATAAGTATAAAAGATACTCGATAAGCAATCTATTTATAAGCTCTAATTGCATGGAAGCTCAAGCCTACTTTTGCAGTCATGTGAGTTGCGATCTTATCATAAATTGTACACTTATAAAAAATTACCCTTCTAAAACTCGAAGGCTAGATATAATAATATACTAGTACGTTCTAGTGATCCTTAGAAGTTTCTAAATTTTTAAAAAAATTTATCTAGTAAGTCTGGTAAGATTAAGTTTAGTATCAAAATCAAGATGAAAAACTAACTAACGGAGGTCGAGGGGGTCAAAAAGTGGCATTCACGTGCCCATTCGCACGCTTGGAGGGTTTCCCGTGTGTGCATACAAATGAGCCTTAGGGAGAGTACTCACTCTCCTCGCTTGCCATGGGCACTTTCCGATTGGCTGCTCTGACCCCAACGTCTAGTGTTCGAATCTTGGGTGCGAAAGGATTTTCTACAAATTATTAGGTGACAACATGTAGATGAGATGCTTGACACGGGTCGGGTCCCAACCGAAGCCTGCCGCGTTCACTAACGCCTCGCATGACACGTGTCACCTAAAATTCAGCTTCTAACATCTTGAATAGAAAATAAAAAATTTATTAAATACTTTTTAAAAATAAAATGATGGGAGGCGTGATTTAATTTTTACAGAAATTAATAAATGAGTACCGAAAATAGTTGTGGGTGTGGCCTTGTAAGAGCATATGTGGTTATGAGCTTTTAAAAAGTCTAAATTATGAAGATGATGAAAGCAGGCCACATGCCTGTCCACGTCAATCACCCAATTTTAAAATATACGGTTATGGAGAGGTTTCTGCACCTTTCTAAGAAATATTTGGTTTTCATTTCTAACTAATATGGAATATCACAATCTACCCCCTTTGAGAGCTCAGCGCATTTGCGGGTACACCGTTCTATGTCTGGCTTTGATTCTAATTGTAGCAGCCCAAACCCACGGCTAGCAAATATTGTTCGCATTGACCCGTCATGTATCGCCGTTAATTTTACAGTTTTAAAATAGGCCTATTAGGGAGAGGTTCCACACCCTTATAACAAATGTTTTGTTCTCCTCACCGATGTGGAATCTCATAGGCATTGGTTAGAGTAGGGCTAGACCCTCTCCATAATAGACACGTTTTAAAACCGTGAGGCTAAGGACGATATATAACAGACCAAAGCGGACAATGCTAGCAGTGGACTTGAACTGTTACATACTGCCACTGAAGCTATGTCACAGCACAAGCAGTGACATTGAGAAGATAGAGAACATTGAGAAGATAGAGAGCATGTTCGATGCTTTCACATATCCATCTATTAGCATGTTAGAAGAAAACTAGAGATCATGGATGAGTTCCTCATCTTCATCTCTAAAGCTACATTCAAAAAATTTATTGAAGATCGTTTGGTTTGGGTTGGGTTGGGGAATACCCTCTATTTTATAATTATTCGGATACAAAAAATCAATAAAAAAATTAAGTTTATCCCTGACATTGAACTCAAGCATGGGTGTCCTTAGAGAGGCCGAGGTACCACTCTGGCAAACTTATTAATATCAAAAGATTCTTAATATAATTTATATATTTTTTATTTGGTTCGGGTCAACTCGAAGGTTTTATCCACGAACCTGAAACTGAACCGATTCAGTTTGGGTTTAGAAAAATGAATCCAACTCTATCTGAAATGCTAATCTAACCCAACTTAATCTTTATAGTTCAAGTTGAGTTGATCCCGTGGTTGAATTTAGGGTTTGAATAAGGTGCACAAAGAGCAACGTAAAGATAGACTTGGACATCTATTAACATAAAGACAGTTTAATGAAGATTTTAGCTCCTTAAACACAACCAATTTGGACCACTGCATTGGGCAGTGGTCAACTCCCACAAATATTTAAGCTAATTTTAGAAATTTAAAAATTTAGAATTAATTTTTTGTTGAGCCTTCTGCTAAAAAAAAAAAATATAACAGATATTTAGTAAAAATATGGCAAGATATATAAGATACAACATAGGTCGTATGTTAAATCCATTAAAGCTTAAACTGAAACCATATATATACCCTATGAAATCTCTCTAAATGTATTTTTTTATTTATATTTTATGTTGTACATGCGTGAAGTTATCAATAAAACATTTAGCCAATATTCTTCTTTGAATTTTCTATATCGGGTAATTTGTGTTCATTTTGATAGACGGTGTGCGCGTTGACGTGCGATCCTAACATTCTGTCCAACTCTTTTTTAAATTGACACTTGAGAAAGGGGGTAAAGACAAATAAGAATTAATTTTTGGTTGTAAAAAGGAAAAGGACAGAAGAAGGGTAGTTGGAAAAGAAGCAATGGAATTGGAAGGTGAAAACGAGGGGGAAGAGAAGGAAAGCCTTGGAAGCATCATACATACAAACAAACAAGGCAAAGGTGGGACCTTTACTCTTAATTTAAGCCTTCACACTTCGCACTCCAATGGTGGGTGACCAAACCAAGTTCCCTTGTGCGCAGTCAATCAACTTCAACCTCAAACCACCCCTACCTGTTTTTATGATATATGGCCCTACCACTGGCGGTGGCCGCATAACATAATGCCCCCTCTCATGCCTTCTTAGCTGCACCTCCCAATTTCATTTAATGCTCCTTTTCCTCCCAAACTCCTCAACCACCACCACCACCACCACTTCCATTTTCTGTGGTTCCCCCTTTTTCTTCATTTTACCACTAAACTTCTTTAAGGGTTTTCTGGTCAAATTGGGTCGTTCTCTGTTTTGTTTTTCATCGATTTGGGGGACTTTTCATTTAGTATCTGCCCTTTTTTTGCTTCATTTTGTGCAAGGATTTCACAGACCACAATGTTTTATCTTCTCATCTCCTTCCTTTCATTCATCCTTCTCTCCAAATCCTTCTCTTACAAACGGCTCCCGCCATGGGAGGCCAAGATGAGTTTATTTTCACCATTCCTTTTAACATGGTTCCACAAGGGCAGCCTTTCTCTGAGTTTCTTTCAACTGTTCACCCTCTCCGATCCGCCATTAAAGAGCACGAAGCTAGAGAGTTCAGATGAGAAAAAAGGGACATCCCTCTTGGATCTACCCAACTTGGCTCTTGAGTCCATTCTCGACCGGCTTTCACCATCTGATTTGTGTAAGATGGCAAATGTGTGTACCCATTTGAGGAATGCTTGTGAAGATGAGTATCTGTGGGAGAAGCGGATGAACCAGAAATGGGGTAACTTAATAGGTAATTCTGCTTGTAAACAATGGCATATGCATATAGCCCACAAGAGGAGATCAAAGCTCTCAACCCCATCTCAGAACAGAGGTCTGTTGAGTTCATGCTTTGGTGGTTTGTCTAAGTTCATGAGACCAAAATCAGAAAGTAAGGGCAAGATCAAGCGTTCTTTACCAATTGATTCAAAGAAGGCTTGGTATCAATCTCTTGAAAGTGGCAAGCTTTGGTTCCCAGCACAAGTCTTCAACAGAGAGGTAAGAAATAAGCCCTTTTGAATATATCATTCCTTATTGCTTTATATATCTCTGTTTTTTTGCAGAGTGGTCATGCTGGGTTCATGTTGTCATGTTATGATGCCCAAATTTCATATGATTCGCAGACCGACATGTTTAAGGCAAGGTATACATAGAAAGACATGCTTACATTGACTCAAAAACTTAGTTGAATTCTACGCGTCTTTGTATTGAACATTATGGGAATTGAATGATGTTAGATATCCACCTCATGGGCGACGAGCAATAGAGGAGAATATTGCATGGAACAGGGTAAGAGCACCCCCTGTTGATACTCCTCCCCATGTTCTTCATGTGTCTGATTGCTTAGCTGACTTGAAACCTGGTGATCATGTGGAGATCCAATGGAGAAAAAGCAAGGAGTTTTCTTATGGTGTGTTTGTCCCTTTCAACCTCTTTTGCAAAATTTTGAATCACGATTCTCCGTAATAGTATGATATTGTCCACTTTGAACTTAAGTTTTCGAAGCTTTGCTTTGGGTTTCCCCAACCGGCTTCGTACCAATGGAGATGTATTCCTTACTTATAAACCCACTAATTGTAGGACTCCCTCCCAACAATCGGCCTCAATCGTGGTAATGTTTTGTAGGGTGGTGGTACGGTGTCATTGCGCACTTGGAGTCGTGTGATGGGAGCGGCGCGAACGAGTGCGGTTGTTGTAGCAATGGTAAGTGAAAATACAAAGTTGTAGTGTGTGATTACAACATAAAAGCATGTTTTATAGTTTGGTTGGTGGTGGACAGAGATGGTGATGTTCGAGTTCAGTCAATATAGCATCGGGTCGAGATGGAGGAAGACGATGATAGACAGAAAGAGGCACAAGGAAGCAGGGAATGAAGGAGATGGGTACTATGGAGGAGTGAGAAAGGTGTACAAAGAAGAGGAGATCAGAAGGTGGAAATGCCTGTGGCCCAATCCATGTGTGGAGTAGAGTCAATATTACATTCCTTGTTCTTAACTCCCTAAATTTTGAGTTAAGAGCCAATTCTTGGAGAGTCTTTTGGAGGATTCAACTAATGTAAGTACCCAAATTAGATTCATTTCTTAAGCATACTTCTATTATCAACTCGGACGTGATTAAATCAGATACCTATATATTAGATTTCTTGTATGGACGACTATGCTAGATACCATGTGAGCTTAGGTGACCCATAAATATGCTACATAGTTCGACTATGTGAGATTTTTATGCCCTAACTTATGATGATAGATTTTATGTAGGAATGGTTAGGGGTTCACGAACTAATCTCTGATCGTGAACCTGTTTCCATTAACGAAGGGGTGTACATAGTACAGTTGATAATTGTTTATAACGGGGTCATCCTGTTATAATGATGGTACAATATGAGGATATTTAATAGTGAACTTGTACTCATCTACGAAGTTTTGCATTTGTACCTTTATAATCATGAGTTGGTATTGGACATGGTTAAGCCCTAAGATATATGAACCTTATAGTGTCATATGATTAATATTTGGGAGAATACTTGCCCAACAACATATTTGAATATCTAAAAAATATTATGATATATTATCTTACTTGAGTGATGGTAGTTTTTGTGTTTAAAACAAAAAGATAAATATATTTTGTTGCATTAGGCCCAATAAACAAAACAACTTAAAATATTAAAACAATTAATAACTCGGCATGGCTATGTATGCCACTTGCTCTAGATCCGCTTTCATCATCAGCCAACTCTTTTTGGTAACCTAAAAAGCGTGAGAGAGTAGAAATGAGTACAAAAACTCAATAAGTGGCCTACTTGTAAACTTTTTATCATGTCTATGGTTGATGCTAGGTTATGACACTATTTCTTATCATCTTCTTGTTCTTGATCACGAGAACTTAGATTTGTAGACTCTGTTCATGAGTTCTAAGTTTTTATCATTGTTCTGGTCTGGGTTCTGAGTTCTTAAATATGATTAAGATATAAGGACTAGGTTTTTGGCTTCTTAATTCTAAGAATTTGGATCTCGATCCTTATTCTAGTTCTCATTCTTGGTTCTTGTCATTGTCCTTAGTTCTTATTCTTGGTTCTTGTGTTGTTCTTAATTTACGATACAATGCATGAAACTGACAACCTATGTCCAAGACTTCGTGTGTTCCAAGCAATACAATCTAAAAACCTATATCCAAGGCTTCATGCATTCTAAGTGACACCGTCTGGGACCTGCACCCAAAGTTTTATGTGTTCCTTGTAGTACAATTTGAAACCTACACCCAATACTTCTTAGGTTCCAAGTAGTATTAGTTTGAAAACCTGCGTCCAAAATTTATTACGTTTCAAACGATACAGTAAAAAAATACATGCCTAAGACTTTATATGTTTCAAGCAGTAAAGTCTGAATACTTGCGTCCAAGATTTCATATATAACCAGCGGTGTAGTTTAAACTTGCATCCAAGAATTCGTATTTTGCCTTCAAAAAAAAAAAAACTGTTTCGTAAGAAAAGGGCTAATCCAGAGAAAATGACAAAAAAAATCCAATTCTTTTTTACCCTTTTGGGTCTTTTTCCGCTTAAACATCTTGAAATTCCTGATCGAAATTAAAAATTTGGGAAGTTTACCTGACAAGGATCACGGTGTTCCAAATATTACAATTGGACCTATTACATGACCCAAGTTCAACAAGATTCAACAAGCATTCATTCTTCATCTACAAAATTGGATAGGCTCAATTCAACCATCATTTCATGTGTTACAAGCTGATTCGAATGAGGGAGGACCATTTGGAGCTTCAGAAGAGAATATTTGCACGGTTGAAGTAGCGGATTAAGTTGCAAGCATCATTTCATGAGTGGTTAGAAAACTTTATTTATTATTTTTAATTTCATAAAGTATGTAATGGTCAAATTCATTTTTTGTCAATGTGCAATTCCGCCCAAAAAAATCTTTGTGTCCTTTATTGGTTTATTTTGGTGTTATTTTATAATTAACTTATGTTGCTTTCCTCGAATAGCTTGCTACTATCAGAATTGCTTTATCTATATATATTAGCCTACCTTGATCATAATTTAGTCACTTTCCCAAATACCGTACCTTTGTAATAAACACGAGTGTTCCTGAGTGTAACATCAGTAAGTTGTGTGTTTGAGGTCTTAAACATATTTAACTACTGTTTGTATAATCATGAACTAAGACGGAGGAAATGGAGGGGAGATCAATGAAGCTAGGTGGAGAGAAGCACAAGTTGGAACTATTACTCATTTGAATCAAGTTATTAGTATATTCACAGTCTATCTTGAAATAGCCTTAGGCAATCTTCAAGGAAGGGAAGTACTCTTGAATGAAGGAGTTGAAAATGAAGAAGATGACATGTCACCCTTTTAGCGGGACATAATCCTAGGGAAAGGAGAGATGTTGGTTGAGGGAGAGGAAGAGGCAGAAGAAGGGGTAGAGAAATGTTAGCACCAAAAAGAATTGTGTAAGGACTGAACTTGAAGCGATGGCTCTAAAAGACGGGTAAAGTTTTCTCGCTAAATAAAACAATTAAATTTTAAAACATAATTTACATTATAACAAAATGGTGTGCGCACATTAGTAATTTAAAATACAACATAATCGTTAAAATACAAAATCAGGAATAGACATGAAACATTTTAAAACAAAAGGGTTGAGACGACGAGTGAGGTTTGTCTATAGCACCTGCTTTAGAGTCCGCTCCAGACCTCGACCAATTCTTTATCACCTGAAAAAAATGGAGAATAAGGAATGAGTACAAGACTCAGTAAGTAGCCTACTTATAGGCTCTTAAGCGTGTCCTTGATATGTTAGGGTACCACATTCTTTGTTCTTTGTTCTTGTTCTTGTTGTAAGTACTTAGGCCCTTTAATTCTTGTTCTTGACTGGAGGTTCTTATCTTGATCTATCTTGAAGACCTTGGTCCTTGGATTCTAAAACCTTGGTTTTCCTTTAAGGGCCTTAGTACTATGGTTCTTGGTTCTTGGTTCTTGGTTCTTGGTCTTTTGTTTCGGGTTCTTATCCTTAGAACTAGGATCTTGATCCATGTTCTAGTCCTTGATCTTTCTCTTGTTCTTAGTACTTTTTAAGTTCTTGTTCTTTTCTTGATTCGTTCTCCAAGACACTTCCCTTAGGATTTATGGCATTAGACATGCACCTGACAATCTTGTGTCCAAGACTTCATGCGTTCCAAGCGACGTAGTCTTATTGCATCTTAGGGCTTGCCCTTCGATACGGTCTTCTTAACTTATGCCCAAGGCTTCATGCGTTCCAAGCAGCATAGTCTGAAAACCTACATCCAAGGCATCTTACGTTCCAAGTGATGTAGTCTAATACTGCATCAAGGGCTTGCCCTATAATACAGTCTGCTTAACCTACGTTCAAGGCTTCATGCGTTTCAAGCAGCGTAATCTAAGTCATGAGTATGCTGTACCGTGGGAGGTCTTAGGAGGTTCTTGATTCTTGGTTAAGGTAACTTATTCTCTTCTTGTTCCTTCGTGGCCCTAGACTACTCCCAATGATACACCATAAAGGTCACTTGCTCGGTGCATACTTAAACATGACATCCTGCAAATCTTTTGGGTACCCATAACTTGGTGTAGGACATCTCTTCTAGGTGAGAGAAACTTGAGACCAAACATGACATCCTGCAAAGGAAACATGGTACTAGGCATGCCACCTAGAAGAGGAATTCTTGGGCCTCATGCACCGCTTGGTGGGAGGTCATGGGTCACTTTGGACATGACTAGAGTATTACTTAGCATTCTTGAGTTTCTGAGTTTGGGGACCTTGGTCCCTCGTCCTTGAGTAGTACCTAGCATTCTTCTTACTTGGGTAGTTGTAAAGCTTACGTGGTCTTCTTTGTTCTCAATCTTGTAAGTTTCTAAGGTTTGTAATTCCTTGAGGCATAAGTTTTAACCTGCATTTGTAACCATATGGACCCATCTTAGCATGAGTTGTTCTAGGAGGTCATAGATTCCTCCTAGGGAGTTCTTTAGAGGGTTCTAGAAGATTCTTGATTCTTGTGGTGTTTCCTTTGGTGTTTCTTGGGTCCTAACTTGGTTTAGGTTCTAAACTTACTCTAATCAACTTGAAACCTCAAACATAACTTCATGTCCTTCATCATAGACCTTATAAGAAATAGCAAATCATTTGGAGAACGTATGGACCTTGAATTTTCATAAGAAGTCCTCGAGGCATTTTGGTCATTTTCAATGGGTTTCAAACTTCACCACATCATCAAACATCATCAAACATCATAAAATAAGATCTACTTTAGAGTTTCATAGTATTTGGAGGTCATCTAGGTCATAAACCGTAGGCAGATATCCTTAGGGGCATTATGGTCATTTTGTACCATTTCTTGGTTTACCTACTTATCCTTATCCAATGACCTCCAAATTTCATATATAACCTCAACATGCTATAATATACTTAGCATTAAAATTTCATAGGCAGAGGAGTTCATATATTGGGTTATTTTAACGTTACTGAAATCCTGAGCAATTTATTCAGTTCAAGGCCTTAACTCACCGTTCCTAGGGTTTTTTCTTTCATTTATCCTTGGTTTATCCTTGGTTTAGGGTTCATATGGAAATCCAAGTGATTCCCACAAGTATTTCTTAACTAAAAGTCCAAGGTGGCTACTTACCTCATTGTCGACGTTCGGGACCTCCATTCTTGAGCTTCTGGTACCCGAATTACCTCAAATTTTATTCCATAGACTCCTTAATGTGTCTAGTTTCTGGAACCATAAAGTTGTTCATGAGAACCGGTCTAGAAGGGGGTTAAAATTGAGAAAAACTAAGGGAAGGTCGAGTTTTGGGATGACATGGTCGGTTCAACTGAACCGGCCACGTCATCGTCTTCTTCTCCAGACGGGAAGAAGACGCGCACGTTGTATAGCGCTGTCGTCTGCAACTCGCCCTCCCCAGCTCCGATCACGCCGTTTCTCCCCTCGATTTATTCATGAAACTTAAAGATGATGTTACAAGGAAGAGCTAGGGATTGATTTCATACCTGCTTGTGGATTGTAGCCTAAGATATTCGCTTCCAAAGTTTATCCAAAATATGATTTCTCGCCGGACTAAAAGTAGAGGATTTCTTATTGGGTAGTCGATTCTAGAGGTTTTCAAGGCTCGATGTCTTCATGGACCTTCTTCCTTATTCTTCTCTCAAGCTTGAGAAATTGGTTTGGAGGAACGACTTTGAGTGTG